CATGCCCCCCTACAGGCGGATGTGGGGCGGAACATCGGAAAATTCAAAATACTCCAAAAATATCCCCAAAATATTCAGACAATACTCAAAACATCGTCCCCAGGCTATTGTTTAACTATTTTTGAATACTCCTCCTGTAGAGGGACGTGCCCGACTTACTGCTAAGGCCCAGGAATCTCATGGGAAGGGGGGGATGGCGAGGAGGAAGACGAGCCCGTCCCACTCTGTTCTACGTGGCTGCGCGGCGGCCTGCCAGGCTGGGCGCACTCCCGCCGCTCAGGGTCGGACCTTGGAGGGGTGCGAGCCCAGCCGCGGCGGGAGTCCGCGGCGGAGGCGCAGACGCTGCAAAACTTGGCGGCACGACAGAACAGCGAGCGCAGAGAGCCTGGCGCACCCAGGCAATGCGTTGGGGGGGCTCACCGCTGGGGGGATCGCCCACTTCCTCCAGGGAACGGGCCCGGCCGGGCCCCGGCACCCTCCGAAGCGCCCACGCGCGCCCCAAAAAAGAGCCTGCCTGTTCCTCGAGACTCTGGTAGGGCTGGCAACCCCACGGTGATGATCCCCGCACGTTTGCCTGAGGCACATTCGGGGGCGGCCAAGAGGGGGGCGTCCAAGACGGGGGGGGGCGCCATGAAATTTGGGAAGACATCATGGCCCCCGCAATGATATCCACCCACCACTGGTCATCACCACCCTCTTGGGCCGCCCCCGACTGACGCACATCTCCCACGGAATCGAGGCGATGGCCGGGACGGTGCCAACTCCGAGCCCGCGCGCGGGCGGCCGAGGCAAACCCCCGTCGCGGAGGGCCAGTTGAGACTCCGGCGGCTCTCCCGCTCGAGGAGGGGGAGGAGGAAGAGGGGGAGGAGGAGGAGGAGAGGGAGGAGGAGGAGGAGGAGGAGGAGGAGGAGGAGGAGGAGGAGGAGGAGAAGGAGGAGGAGGAGGAGGAGGAGGAGGAGGAGAAGGAGGATCCGCTCACAATCGGTTTCCGTACCCCTCTTGGAGTCCTTCTTGACCCGTCTTCCGAGGCGGATCCAGTCGTGGCGACGAGAAGCCTCCGGTAGGCCTGGACAAGAGCCCAAACACGTCGGGGAGGGCCGCCGCTGCCAGGCAACCACCTGTGAACCCTACCCAGACTCGTGCGCCGGCTGGGGTTCGGAATCCGAGGGAGGTCTGCACCCGAGCGAGGCCCCGCGGAGGTGTCCCATACCCCTCGTCGATTGGAGCAGCAGGGGTAGGGTTCGCGACTGGCCGCAGAGCTGCCTCGATTCACCCTCCTCCGGCCACCCCCTCCGCCGGGCAGGGTGGGACATTAAATGCTACCACCACTGGCTTTAAACCTTAAGCTCCACACTTGGGCCCCCCCCCCGAGGGGGGGGGGGCCCAGACGGCGCCGCGGGGCGTGACGCTTCCTCCTGCCGAGTCGACGCGCCCAGGGGGGAAGTGAGAAGGGGCGGGCCTCCTCCGAAGGCTCGGAAGCCCCCCGGGCCTTCTGACAAGTGCTCTGGGCCGCCCCCGAAGACACGGAAGACCTCTCAGAAGGCCCGAGGCGTGCTGAGAAGCCCCGCCGCCTTCTGAGGAGGCCTTCTCCTTCTCGCTGCCCCCCCTCGCTCGCCGCCGCGTCAGGCGGCGGAGGTGGGCGCCGCCCCCCCCCCCCCAGGGGAGGGCCCGAGCGCAAGCCCGGAGCTCTGGCGCCGGACGCCGCCGCCTCGCGGCTGCTCGAGGCCAGCGCGGCGGAGGCGCCCCGAGCGCCCCCTCGACGCGACGGCCGGCGATGATACGAGGAGCGCATGCAGAAGAAGAGAAATCCACACGCTTTTTGCGTCGGCGGCCAGGCAGAGTCACTGCGCTGGCGAGGAAGCGAAACGGAGCTGCCGTTCAGTGAATTGTGCCACCATGCAGGAGGGGGGGGGGGAGGAGACAACGAAGCAACGGCCGAAGAGGAGGAGAAAGCGGGCCGGGGCCGCCCAGGAAGAGAAACATCCGCACACGCACACTCGGCTACCTACCAGACCACGCTTCGGGTTCGGGGGGGTACGTTTTTTTTTTTTTTTTTTTTTTTTCGGGTTCGGGGGGGTAATGGGCTCCGCGTGTTTTCTGTTTCACTGTTCCCTGGCGCCCCCGCGCGGAGGGCAGATTGAGGCCGTCGGGTCGGGTAGGGGTCCATTGGCGGATCGGACGCACACTTCAGCAACGTCAGGATCAAAGACCTCATGGGTTTTCCACTTCTCCGCCAAGAACACCATGGCAGTCAATGATGTTGCCCACGACGTTTAGAAAACCACTGGTTGTGGAATGGCTTCCTGTGTGGGTCCTCGATCACCGTAAGAGAATAAGCTGCCAAAACCACAAGAGACTTCGGTGACCTGCACACGGCTGCTAGAACAAACCGAAGTTGTCCTTCTGGCTCCTAGGTGTAGTTCTCCCTCGTTGCTCTGACCTCTACTGCTTCGTGCCCACAGGGGTGCCTCTCAACATTTCGTCCACTCGCACGCCGTGGCAACCTCATCCTTGGTCCCCCACTGCCTGTTGCATGAGCCTGGGCACGCACGCGCCATGTGCACTGGCCTCCACAGGTCCGCGCGGCGTTCCTAGAATGGCGCTGGGCCCCCCTCGCAGCGGGCCAGGGGCGGCGCCGGAGGCGCAGCCAGGGGGGTCCAGCGGCGATCCGAGAGATCCGCGCGAACCTCCGACGGTTTATGCTTATGCTGATTTAGGCGATCCGAATTTCAGAACCGACGCTTGCAACTCACGCTGGCTCATCAGGTTTCGTCGCGCCCTGCGGCTAGGGTCCCATCGCCGTCACGGCGGGGTGAGCACGTACTGAAAACGCATCTGCGCGCGAGCGATGAGCCACACACGGCGGTGGACACGCGGGACAGTCATGGGGGAGCGAGTTGCCATCGGAGCCCCGAGGCCGTGGTCCCACGTGCTCTCTGAAAACTGGCGCCCACGAGACGCGGGCCGCGACTCGAGCCGCCGCCCGCTTCGAAGCGGCGCGTCGCGGCGAACGGCGGCGGGGCCTCCAGCAGGCGGGCGCCTCGTCCGCCAACCTCCTGCACGCCCTCTCCACCGAGGAACTCTTCTCCCGGACTCGGGCGCCAGATGGCACGCGGCTCCGCTCGATCCACGGAGCCCGCGCGCGCCAGCAGAAACAGTGAGCCTCCAGCATCAAAGCTGGCTTCAAGCCGTACCCCTCGTCGCCCCCCCCTCCTGGATTACCCCCCCACCCTCCTGCGCCATCCCCCAAGCTCCTGCTCCTTCTCACTTCAGCCCGTCTGCCCCTCGATGTGGCTGCGTGCGGGTGTGAGCCTTCCCCCGTCTGCCTCTGAGTATGGCTGTGTGTGGGGGTGGGCATTCCCCAGTCTGCCTCTCGATATGGCCGTGTAGGGGTCCATATGGCATGGCTATGTCGGGGTGTCTCGCGCTGTTTGTTCCGCTTCTCAATCCAAGCATTCCCTGTCCTTCGGCCGTCGGTGGGTAGGCCCTCCACCGTGGTGTTCAGGGACCAGCCGCCCTTCAGGCCGTGCAAGCCGCCAATATCCTTCTCCTCCTGCTGCTGCTCCTCCTCCTCCTCCTCCCCCCATACAGGCCCCAAGAGACCTCTAGAACCCTCGCACCTGAAACCTCGCCGAAACACCCCTCTCCTCCTTCCGTCCTCCTCTGCCTCCTTCCTCCTCCTTCCTCCTCCACCTGCTCTCACAGTCGGGTCCCCCATGGCCTATCATGGAGCACGTGCGGATCAGAATCTCGATGCGGACCCGATCCTGTCACGAGGAGCAGACGCACCAACCGTATCGGAGTGCAGACCTTCCTTTCATTCTTCCTCTCTCGCGCCTCTCGAAGAGGCCGCCACCGTGCCGTGGGCACTGGGTGTAGAGTTCGCAGGTCCCTTCGAGATTGCTGTACGGACGAATGCTCATACTCCTCAGAATGCCCCAGAGCCCGGATTCCCGGTAGCGTTGCTCAAAGTCCAAACGTCCCACATGTCCTCAGATGGCCCCGAGGGCCGTGCTGGGACTCTCCTGCGGGTTTCCTCTTGGGCCGTCTTTGAGGCCCCCTTGTATTAAATACTTGAATGGCTATCGAAAGCTTGATTCAAACAAACACCACACATCCTCCACCCCCTCGGCATCTTCTCACAAAGCTATGCTCCACCTTTACCTCCTCTTACACACACATCATATATGCTTCCCCCTGTAAACATCCACTTACACAGCACAACCAAGACACAGCCACACACACACACACATACCCGCACATACACACACGCACACGTCCTTCCCATCCCGTTCTCCTGTCACAATCAGCGCGCAAGCATACATCCAAGATGCATGATTTCTGCTCCGCCCCCTTGCACACAAAGGTACACAATATGTAAATTAACCTTGAATCAACCTGAGAATCCATTCCTCTGCCCCCTTCCTCCCGTTCCTCCTTCTCCTCCTCCTCCTCCTCCTCCTCCTCCTCATCATCATCCTCATCCTCATCCTCATCACCATCATCATCATCATCATCATCATCATCATCATCATCATCATCATCATCATCATCATCATCATCATCATCATCATCATCATCGTAATCCCGTCTCTGGAGGCCTCGGCAGTCTCTGGAGGTTTCCACATTACCTGGGCGACTCTGGCGGCCTCTGGAGGCAACAAACAAAAAGCCGACAACGCCCAAGACACTTCGATCCTCTCTCTTTGAACCTCGGCATCTCTGATAAAGCGGCCGCTCGGCGTCTGGGCCTTTCCCCGGGTCTCTGGCGGAGGCTCGGGACAATCCAGGCACCACGGGAACGCTCCCCTCTGGAAAGCACCACAGAGAACCCAGAACCTCAAACTGCGTCGATCGTCCCTCCCCTCCTCCACCCCCCCCTCCCCTCCTCCCCTCGTCCCTCCTCCCCCTCCCTCCCCTCGTCCCTCCTCCCCCTCCCTCCCCTCCCCTCCTCCTCCCTCCCCTCCTCCCCCTCCTCCCCCCCTCCCCTCCTCCCCCTTCCCCCCTCCCCATGCCTCAAAACATTGTGAACTTGGCGCTCTCGCTGTGTATCGGGCGCAGGCGCTCACCGAGCTCCTCGATTAGCGACGAGCAGCGGAGCAGGCAGAAGAATATCGTGAACACGCCGAAACCTGTGGAGGAGGAGAGAGCCTCCGAAGGCCAACCATTGTGACATTCCGACCGCCTCGATGTTTGTTCGAGGCGCTGGATGTCTGGCAGGCTTGAGCTTAATCGAATGGCGAAATCGGACCGGATCGGAAACGGATCAGATCGCGCCCAAATCGGCGCAGGTTTGGATCGGGATCGGAGCATGTGGGATCGCGGATCAGCTTCGGACCCTGCGCCCAGAAACAGAGTCGGTTCGCGAATCGGCTCAGATCGGGTCGCGACCGGAATCGAGGCGTGGGGATCGGATCGGATCGAATCGAACAATGAGCGACCCTGTCTGAGGAGGGGGAGAATTAAGTCGGGCATGTCCCCCGACAGGCAGGTTTTGGAGCTTAAAATAACAATAAACAAATTGTTTGAAAATGCTAGAAAAATCGTCCCCAGACTATTTTTGGACTATTTTTGGATACTCCTCCTGTGGAGGGACACGCCCGACCGAAGGGTAGAAAGACACAAGAGAGCCTGTGGAGGTGGGCTCCGGGATGTCGGTCACCCGCTCGAGGTACCGGGCAATCCCCGCGCGCAGCACGCTCCCGTGCGCCCTGATGGACAACATGGCGGCCGCCCCGACCGCCGCGCTCGCCCACATCGACGGCATGCTGCCCATCTGCCCCTCGACGATCAGCTCCGTTGGGTCGTAGGAGAAGGGGATGGCGGCGAAGGGCCTGCGCTACAGTCGGGGCGTTGACCTAAGGAACCCTAAATAAGGAACGAGGTCCCTTTTTTCCATAAGTTAAACTTCGATTTCCGATCGAAAGCCGAAGGAAAACCTTGGGCAAGCTGTTAAACAATCAAGGAACACCGAGCCCCTTCCCAACGAAAAAGGTTCCTTCTTCAGCGCCCCGACTGTACCACCGGGCGCATCCACGTCCACGGAGGCTCCGTGGCCACGCCTCCGGGAACCTGGGGAGCGGGAGGTCTGGACACGCCGTCCGCTCGCGGGGGCGGGCTGACACCGTACGTCCGTACATCCGCGACTCCTCGAGGTGCTGGGGCACGGGCACGGAGCGGTGGAGACGTGGGCATGCTCCGACGATGGGGGGCCTGAGCTTCGCCCTCTTGGAGGTGACGCGCACGAGCGACGCGGACAAGGTCTCCTCCGCGGCCGCGATGTAGTCGGAGATCAGTGCCAGCGCCTCGGGCGACTCCGAGGACAGCTGGTCCAGCGGGACCGAGCGGACGGCCCCGTGCAGCGAGCTGATGATGCGGAGCAGCCTGCTTTCCGTCCTCAGGGCGCGCTCGTAGCTCGCCCGCGGGAAGGGGCGCCGCGTCAGCATGGGCTCGTTGTCCGCGGGGCCGAGGGACGCGTTGGAGGACGCCACCAGCGCGACGCCCTCCTTCACGGCCGCGGAGTGGCCACTGCCGATGGTAGGCTTCACCTGGCTGGCGTCGCTGTCGGCGCTGTCGGTGCTGCAGGCGCTGTCGCTGCTCGGCTGCCTCGTGTATGGCTCCACGGCCTCGCTGAGCCCGTCCCGGATCGCTTCGACGATCTGGTCCTGCTGCAGCGACAGCGTCCGACGGGCCGAGTTGGGCCAGAGCAGCACCTCCACGATCACGTACACCATCGTGCCCGTCGATATCTGCTTCATCCTCCACAGCATGATGTCCGAGCCCTCGAACCGATCGTCGTTCTGGCTCTCCAGCGAGCCGATGAACATGATGGCGGCGCTGAAGGCTGTCACCACGCACAAGTAGCCGTAGGTGGGGGAACCGCGTCCCATGCTCCTAGCTCGCTCCCCCTCCTCCCACTTCTCCTCCCTCTCCTGGGTGGGGTATGGGGAGGGGTCTCGTCTTTGAGAACGGGTGCTCTTGCTCCCCCCCTCCCCCCCCAGTTCCAGAACACGACCCACACGAATAGCACCAGCGTGCAAGCAACCTCAGAGTACCCGATGACATCGAAGCATATCAATGCAAAGACGCCCCCCATCAACGTGCCAACCATGCGGTGCATCCCAGTGACAACCGCGGAGCCGACGTAGTCCGAGAAGACGAACGCTGCCCCAAGTAGAGACCAGATGTACTGAGGGTTGTGCTCTCGCAGCCTCGGCGTGTATGGAAACGCGAGCAGAATGGCCATCGTGAACGTCTTCTTGAACGCCTGCTTCATCTCTGGGAGGTCCGGCATGGCCACCAACTGCTCCAGGCAGTGCCGAAGGGAGCGCGCAGCCGCGCGAGGATAAGCCTCGTGGGCTGCGACGTCCTCCTCGCAATGCTGGCACGTTGCACCGATCATCTTGTCAAAGAAGTAGTGTTGGGCGAGCCTGCGGCAATGCTCCGTGCCGAAATCTTCTCCGGGCTCTGGCCCGGGAAACTGGGAGCCGACCTTGTGCATCACCTGCCGGCGAGCTTCCTCGCAGGCGCGCATCAAGTTCGCCTGGGCATTTCGCGCGTCGACGACCAGCTCTGGGCTGATCGGCCGCCTCTGTTGTTCTGCCGCTACCACTTCGTCATTCAGCGCGGCCAGCGATTTCAGAGCGCACCTCCAATGCTTGGCCGTCAAGTTGTGGAACCTCCGGTGGGTTTCTGAAATTCTCGTCGGGCCATTCCGGAGGGTCGACTGCATGGCCCGAATGTTCTGCAAGCGCAACTGGCAGATGGAGACGATCCTCTCGAGGCGCGCGTGAGCGGCGGGGAAGAAGATGAGCTCCAAGCGGGCGGGCGAGAGCAGCTCCTTCATGCGCGCGAAATCGTCCCTGATGGTCTCGCCCAACTGGTCCGCCGTGGTCACAGCGGAGACCGTGCTGTTGCTCAGGGCCTCATACTGCTCGCACAGCACGGCCCTCTCGATGAGGGCCTGGAACGCGAGGCGGTGCCTGAGTTCCGTCACCGCCAGGCAGGGGCAGGGCAGGATCATCGAAAGCACTGCCACCAAAGGGCCCACAGTGCATGGTACCACCACCGTCCACGGGAAGTAGAATGTGTGCGCGTACCCCGACACAGACATGTTGATCGTTCCGCAGATGAAGACCCCGACCGCACAGCGCTTGAAGCCGATCCCCATCTTGCGCGACGTCACCCAGAAGGTCAGCGACAGGAAGAGCACGATCTCGGTGGTGATCTGTACCCAGCGGGGGCGTATGTAGCGGGCCAGCTCGTTCACGACCACGCTCGCGAGCCCTCCCAGAGCGGACCCGGCCCAGATGTCCCAGGCGTGATGGAGGGTCGAGCCGAGACTGGGGCCGCTCACGGCGCCGATGCCCAGCACGCAGCTGAAGACGGTCGCGCTCTGCCACTTGGCGGTTTGGATGTCGCGGTTGGTGGCGTAGAGGCACGCCAGCACCACGGCGACGCCAGTCCTGGGCGGGGCGCGCACGGATTCGCGCAAACGAGGACGCCTTCTGAGGAGCCGGCGGAACTCCTCAGAAGGCAGGGGACTGCAAGAAGCCATCTCGGCTTCTAAGGCGCCTTCTACAAAGCCCCTTGGAGGCCTTTCCGAAAGGGGCCCCTGGCTTCCAGGACTTCACAGAAGGCGACCCCTTCGCGCGACGCCTTTGTGCGCGCCGCCGACGTCCGCAGTGCCCAATTCACCTTCCTGCCCAATTCGGACTGCAGCTGGTGCACCTTGAACCGCAGGCCGGCCCCGTCCGTAGACTGCGTTCCCCACAGCTCCGCGCGGAAGTCGCCAAACTCTGACACAGTTCTGTTTTGCTGAGGCTCCTGCTGCAGATCCATCCAGCCATCGTCATCATCTTCCGACGCCATGCGCGAATGGTACTCCATGTGCGGGGAGGGGGTCTTCAAAAAGTTGTGCGGTACTCCTTAGTCCAAAAAAGGCCACGGGCTCCATCACAGTCGTGGCTTTACCAGGGCTAGTGGTTCTTTCCGCGGCCCGGGGGGCCGGGAGGGGGAAGGAGAGAGATTCCCTCCCCTTCCGCTTCAGCTTCTCGTTACCCTGCCCAGGCAACACACCCTACCAGTCCCTCTGGTACCCCCGCTATTGCCCTCGCGCTCTCCCTCCTTACTCTGGGTCCTGGCACAACCCGCTCGCCTTGAGATGGGGCCCAGGGACTTGCAAACAGATCGACACAAATCCCAGGACTCCCCCAAGTTCCCATGCTTCCTGAGAGGTTCGTCTTCCCCTCCACCTCCCGAATTCTCCATACCGCCCTGGGCATCGACGATTCGTCATGACTGTGTGTGTTCTGCCCTCCTGACACCTCCCCGCCCCTCCTCTCCCCCAGCCTCCCAGTGCAGCGACCCAGGCGGCGGAGGCGCAAGACGACGGGCCGGCGAGGCGCGGGGGCCGCCAGAGGGCGGCACGATGAGCAGCGCGAGCGGGCCAAAAGGGAGAGCGGGAGGGAAGGGGAGGAACGACCGGGAGGACGAGCAGGGAAGTGGCAGGAGGACGAGGACGAGGACGCGGACGCGGACGCGGACGAGGACGCGGACGAGGACGGCGAGGAAGGCGACGACGACGACGACGACGAGGACGGCGACGACGACAACGACGAGGACGGGGACGGGGACGAGGGACGGGAATGGTGACGACGACGACGACGACGACCACCGACGACCGACGACGACGACGACGACCACGACGATGATGAAGACTACGACGACGACGACGACGACGACGACGACGACTACGCCGACGACGACAACGACGACGACGACGACGACCGAAGACGAACACGAGGGCGCGCGGGCGCGCCGGGGGCGGCTGTCGCCAGGGGGGGGGGCTCCCCATAATAGACCCCCTCCCGGGCCAGACATCTGGCGCCCCGATCTCTTCGGGACACGGGCCTCTGGCCCCTCGACCCCTCGGCCCGGGGCCGCCCCTCGACGCGGGGCTCCGCCCAGGGCCCCGCGGAGACCCCCGCCCACCGGCCCGCCCCATGGGCGCGCCTCCGCCACGCGCGAGGCGAGCCGGCCGGCGGCGCCGAGGCGCCACAGGGCGTGCAGGCCCGCGACCGCGGGGTGCCTGCCGAACGGGTGGGGGGCGGCGGCCGCGCGGCGGCCAGGCGGCGCGGAGTCGCTCGGCGGCGGCCCCCGGCGGCGTCTCCTGCGGCGGCGGCGGCGGCGGCGTCGGCACGATCGTCTCCGTCGTAGGCTTCGCTGTCACCGTCGTCTGCTTCATCTTCGTCCTCCTCGTCGTCGGCCTTCCTCGTGGTCGTCCCCCGTCGTAGTGGATGTGCGCCCCCTTCCCCTGCCAAGTGGGGCAGCACGTCCTGCCCTGCCAACGGCTGCTTCCCACGTGGATCCAACGCTGCGGCGAGGTCACACGCACACTCCGCACTCGGCGCCCCTCAACAACTCCTCCTGCGGCGTGCCCGTCTCTTTCGCCCCGCACTTCGCCGTCAAAATTGAGCCACATGCGAACTTTATTGCGCTTGACCCTCGAAATAAAAATCGGGCCCCTCGTGCCCAAACATAATCTCTTATGCAGAGCCAAATTCGCGGCGTGATCGGCTATGCAATTGGACAATCCGCCAACCCGCACCATTAAACCCAGTCGTCTCAAGCTCGGCGAGAAGCCCATGCACCATGCATGGGCCCCGCGCGACCCCAATTTGGGGTACTACGGTACTACTCTTGGTGAAGGTATACATGCGATGCACTGCAATGCAATGCGAACCATAGCACTGCATGGCGAAACACCGCCACCATCCAATAGACCATGACTGCAGAGCACGGCTTAGAATCATAACATCGCACAGCAAAGCGTTGCGTGGTATCGCGTACCTCACAGGCCCCCGTTCGGGCGACAAGGACGTCGCAGCTTGACGCGGTGTGACGCGCATCACATGGGTCAGATTGAGGTCGGGGCAGATGAGCGCAGCTGTCGGCTTGCGATTGGCGTCTGGTCGGATTCACACTATATCTATATCTCGACCTCACGATCGACCGATCTCACTATGTATCCGCCGCTTTCACCACCGATCTATCATCGACGACACGAGTTATTTGGTAAATTCAGGACCCATCTATCGACAACACTACCCATCTACCGATATCATATCGATTGGTCTCAATACTGACCTGTCGATCTTAGTGCCATCCTATCGAAACTTACAGGTCGGACTGCCTATCATCTTTCACTGGTGTTCAGTATCTATCTGCATTGTCTAGGCTAGCGCATGCTCGCCGCCTCAATTTTACGATTTGAAAGTCGCTGTAAATTTCGATGTGGAGGTCAATGTCAGTTTCGATGCAAATTGCGATTGGCGGTACATCGCCACTGGATGTGCTTGTCGATTTGGATTTCGAAGCCAATTCGATGTATGTACCAGTCCGCAAATATGAGTGTATTTGGGTTCGTCGTTTGTTCGGTCTGCATGCCAGTTTTCATGTCGATTCCCATTGCATTGCCATGTGCACTTACATGTTCATGCCGATTCCATGTCGATGTGCCTTTTCGATCAGCATGCTGACTTTCAGCTCGAGCTGCATGCCAATTGCAAATGGATTCGTATACGATGCGTATTTCGATTGCAGACCGATTCGCGCTTCCAATGTGGATCCCGCTCGACGCGACCGCCACGGGACCACACACGGGGCAACGGGACAAAACGCCAGACAACGCGCGGGACAGCCACAAACCACGGGACAAACCACAGGACACCCAACAGAACACCCACGGGACAACAAACAAGACAACCCACTGGACAACCGCGGGACAATCTACCCGACAACCACGCGAAAACCACGAGACCACCAGGGACAGCCGTGGGACAAACACGCCGAATGCCCGCGGGACTGGAGAAAAAAACTGTTGCTCGACGTGGCCCAAGCTGCGCCTGCACGTCGTCGACCGCGCGCCACTGCGCCCCTCCCCCGCGTGCGACAAGAACCGAAACACTGAAACGGAACACGTTCTCACCATGGACGGCAGAACCGGAGCCGAAACTGTGCTCACCGAGGCTGAGACTGTTCTCAGCGACGTGGCCCCACCTGTGACAACAGAACAATGTATGGCATTCCATACGGCTGGTGAGTATGGTGACGACGTGGGCGTCGGTTTCCGACACCGCGTGGATCTCTCAACGGTCGCCGCCTCGTCGATTCGGTGCGAAGCTGCCTCAGCCACGCATGGCATGCCGTAGTATAGCACACGGTCGAAACCTGGCCACGAGGACACGGACCAAAAGACAAGAGCCCCCTCGCCGAAGGACCGAGGGCCCATGGCTGCGCTCCAGAGAAGAACGCTCCAGGATGGAGAGCCCGCAGGGCGAAGATCCCCGCGCGCTGCGCAGGTGAGCAGCCGCCTCGGTGCGAACGCGCGGCGCGCGCCCGCGGCGGCCCGTTAAGGTGGGACAGGCCTACGCGGTGGGCCGTGCGACGCTCGCAGGCGGCCTCGTCCAACGAGGCCGCCCGAAGAGCACGACGGCACCCCTTCGGCACTCGAGTGGCTCCTGCCCCTCGTGCCCGCCGCAGCACGGCACGGCACAGCACACCGCACCAGAGCAAGGAAGCGCAGCGCACCGCTCGAGGAGCTGGCGCCTGGGTGGCGAGGAGCCGGCGCGACGAGACCCGGCACCCGGCGGCGCTTCTCCCGACGAGGCAACAGTCGGAAACCGCTGGGGAGCTCCACAGTGCGAGGCGGGGATTCACTCGAGCGACGATCAAGAAACGGGTCTCACGCGAGATGGCATCGCGAACTTACGCGGCGGCTTACGCGGGCCGCCAGCGCGGCACGCTGCGCGAGAGCTGAGGGCGCTTACGCGCGACGTGACGCGGGCAGCTCAATTACGCGCCAATGTCGGCGCAGACCCCGTTTTCTGGCGTTGCTCACCTGAAGCACAAGTCGGACAACCCCGGGGAGCTCGAGAGTGCGAGGCGGGGCGCCACTTGTCCATGACCACCCACGAAGGGGCAGCTCTTCGGGGGCCTCAGCGGGAGGTGGCCATGGATACGGCTGACCCCCCGACGGCCTGGGTATGCGTCCATCTCCACCGCCGGCCCAAAGCCTCCGGAGAGATCGACCCCCCAGGCAGTCTCAGTGGCCAGTGGCAGATCCCCTCCCCGAAGAGAAGGCGACACCGAGGCCATGGGATGCAGCCGGACGCTGCGGCACACCTGCAGCACGACGTGCCGCCGCCAGGGGCCGCACGCCCGACCCGAGCGTGCGGCGCGAAGGCCTTTTGCAGCCTGTCGATGCCCCGGCGGGAGGTGTGGCCAGCAGGCGCCCGCCACGGAGCCCACACCAGCAGGAGGTCGGAGCGCGCGCCGGGCCCCATGCGGGGCCGACGCACACACACAGTGCCTGAGCAGGTCGGGGTGGCGCGGGCGAGGGGGAACGAGCAGAAACTGCACGCGGTGGGGCGCTCTTGCTCCGCGGGGCGGGGCGCTCAGGAACTCTCGACACGTGGGCGCCTCGGGACCGCGAAGTGGACCCCGCGTCGGACCGGAGCGCGGAGGGCCAGAGCTGGCGGTCCGGCACGGCACCTCACAGTTCACGACCGCACAACTCACATGTTCGGAGGGCCGCACAGACTTGTCGGATTGGCAGTGGGGCCCCCCTTCTTTGGCGCGCGGGACGTTCCAGGGGCGGCGCCTGAGGCGCCGCCAGGGGAGCAGCCGAGGACCTGCGAGGGTGTATCCTTATGCGTGTCCTGCCCTTTGGGGGAAGGCGATAACGATGCCAGGCACCAAGGAATTGGAAGCACGCAAGTGGACTCACATGTGGGGAACGTCCGGACGCCACGCGGTGGATACGTACGATCGCGCCGGGCCCGCACGGTCACAATAGAGCCCACATCGGCCGCTTCATTCGTATCAGGTTTCCTGGTAGTTGGGGCGCGCCGACCTATGAATGGAAAATGTGTCCCTC